TTTCTTCTATTTTTTTTTTAATGTTTGTTTATTTTTGAGAGAGAGAAAACACAGGGGAGGGGCAGAGAGACATGGAGACAGGCTCTGAAACAGGCTCTGCACCAACAGCACAGAGCCCGATGCGGGGCTGAAACTCATGAACCTTGAGATCATGACCTGAGTCGAAGTCAGACACTTAACCAACTGAGCCACCCAGGCGTCCCTCCTTCGATTTGTTTTTTTTAGTCACCCTACCCTGTATGCTTGCTATGAACGTGTGGACCACCAGCTGAGACGTTTGTTAGATCTTCAGAATTTTGATCCCACCCCAGACCTGCTGAATCAGCTCACGCATTACAGTAGGAGGCTCCGGGTGGGTTCATCCGCACACTAACGTGTGAGAAACACACTGCCTTTTATCACTGGCATCAACACTCTAACTGGGAGGCATGTATCACCCTGTTTGATCCATTTTAATTTTCTTCACATTTTCCACAAAATATTATCTCTGCACACGAGAAGCATCTTCAAATCAGTGAAAGGAGGACTGTAGTATGGTGCATTTTTTTCTTTATTTCTGAAACATGAAATAACTTACCTCACAATTGATGACAATTAGGTCTTGATAAAATAATAGACTTAACAAACACATAATTATTAAGATTAAGAAATATCTGCTTTTGGTCATTTTGCACAGGACCGATGGGACCCTGCCATGGTTTTGGAAAGAGTGGTTTCAGGAAAGCAAAATAATGACTTAAGCTAATTAACGGTTCCCAAACATCGCTGGGTTCAAGGCTCTTGGGAAGAATTCAGGTTCCCCAGTCCCAGCCACAGGGATTCTGTTGCCGATGATTGACGTGGATCATTTCCCAGCATTTTGGGTACCACACTTAATGCAAAGTCATGCTTAATCATGTCAAGTCATACACCTCTTACCCCACAAGCTTCCCTCATCATGCCAGCCACTCTCAAGTGCAGCCTGTGGGTCTTCGGAAATTCCTAAGAACTTTTTGGGAGCAACATGAGATACAGACAATTTTCATAATAATGCCTAGATACTATTTGCCTTTGTTTTCACTGTGTTAACCTAATGATGCAAAAGGAAGGGTGTGTAAGACTTCCGATGCTTCATTACAAATCCAGGGATGGCACCAAACCGGACTAATAGAAAAAAAAAATTTTTATTAAAAAAGCCAGTTTTGGGGGCACCCGGGTGGCTCAGTCAGTTGAGCGTCCAACTTTGGCTCAGGTCATGATCTCACGGTGCATGAGGTTTCGTGAGTTCCAGCCCTGCACTAGGGCTCTCTGCTCTCAGCACAGAGCCTGCTTCAGATCCTCTGTCTCCCTCTCTCTCTCTCTGCCCTCTTCCGTGCTCACTTTCTCTCTCTCTCTCTCAACAATAAATAAAATATTTTAAAAATTCTTTAAAAACTGAATTTAAAAATAAAAGCCAGTTTTACTTAAAAATTACTTATAATTTCCAGCAGCAAAAAGTATTAATTTTAGCATATTTCAATTCTTGCATACATATATTTAGAATATTTTGTGTGCTGAAATTGTAGGTCTGCGTAAGGCACTCCCGCTGTGTACCACAGTTGGATGGTCATCTTGAGGAAAAGCACATGCACAGTTGCTTGAGTTGCAATGCGAACTAGCCACTAATTCACACAGCACCATCATTACTTGAAAAGAATGTGGTTTTTCAGAACTGGATATATGGCAGACGTGTTCTCAGAAAGGAATGAAGTGTGCTTATCATTTCAAAGAAAACACTGGCAGTATTTGTTACTAACGATATACGTGAGGTGGTTTTTATTTTTTTAGTGCTTTTATTTATTTTTGAGAGAGACAGAGCATAAGCGGGGAAGGGACAGAGCGGGAGGAAGACAGAATCTGAAGCAGGCTCCAGGCTCTGAGCTGTCAGCACAGAGACCAATGAGGGGATCGAACTCATGGACCTCGAGATCATGACCTGAGCCAAAGTTGTATGCTTAACTAAGCCACCCACACACCCCTATATATGAGCTTTCAAGCAAAAATTAGAATTTTGGAAAACTTTCATCTGCTACCACTAATGTGCAACTTCCTAATACTCGAAGAATTTTCTAATGAAACCAGTGCAGACATTGATGATTGTGATTGTTTAATATTCTGTAACAAAACGTGTCAACATTTGGAAGTTTCGTATAATTCAGGGAACCAGGATTTTCCAAGGGACTCAAGTATGATGTTCACAGGTGGGAAAAGATCCATTCAAGGTTCAAATACAGGGGGCACCAGTTAAGCGTCCGGCTCTTGATCTCAGCTCAAGTCATAATCTCAGTTTGTGAGTTCGAGCCCCACATCAGGCTCTTTGCTGACAGCTTGGAGCCTGGAGCCTGCTTCGGGTTCTGTGTCTCCTTCTCTCTCTGCTCCTCCCCTGCTCACACTCTGTCTCTGTCTCTCTCAAAAATAAATAAACATTTTTTTTAAAAGTTCAAATACAGACTAATGGATTATAACATAACAGAACACAAATTATTCCTGGATACAGTTTCAGGTTTTATTCCACACTGGAACTAGCCTTTAAGAAACTACCACTTGTCATGTTTTGGTATAATATCTAAGAATAATATTCACAATTATTTGAAAAGGCAGTGAAAATACTCTCTCCTTTTCCAAACTACGTAACCGTATAAGGCCAGATTTTCTGTATTTACTTTAACAAAAAATAAAACCAACAAACAAGGGGTGCTTGGATGGCTCAGTCGGTTAAGTGTCTGACTTCAGCTTGGGTCATGATCTCACAGTCATGGGTTCAAGCCCCGTGTTGGGCTCTGCTCACAGCTCAGAGCCTAGAGTCTGCTTCCAATTCTGTTTCCCTCCTTGCTCTCTCTGCCCCTCCCCTGCTCATACTCTGTCTCACTCTGTCTTTCAAAAATAAATAAATATGAAAAGCAAATTAAAAAAAAAACTTCCAGTAACAGACTGAGTACAGAAGGAGGCATGAAAATCCAGCTGTCTTTTATTCAGCAGACATTAAAGAAAGCTGCAAAAATAAGAAACAGTGCTATTCTTCACACTAATTTATCTTCATTCTGGAAAATGTAGTCATTTTCATAAAAATGTATTATTTATGCTAACAGGTAATGGATTGGATATTAATTTTATTTTATTTATTGTTTAAATTTATTTTGAGAGAGGAGGGAGGGGCGGAGAGAGAAGGAGAGAGAATTCTAAGGAAGTTCCACACTGCCAACACAGAGCCCAACGCGGGGCTCAAACCCACAAACCATGAGATCATGACCTGAGCTGAGATCAAGAGTCAGACGCTTAACCGACTGAGCCACCCAGGCGTCCCTAACCGTAATTTTAAACGAATTAATAAATATTTTTAGATGCTCTCCATTTTAATCTCTGATGTCCAGTCTCCTCTGAAAATCTAACCGCCATGGTTCATGGCCAAAGTAAAATTAAGATGCAGCTTTAGCCGAATAAGGTCCAGAGGGAAGCAGATGATTCTCTGTGTGTAGGAATAAAACCCCGCGGCAGCACCAGGAGGAATCATAAAACAACAGTTACCAATGAAGAGCGATTTCATAATGGGTAAGCGGGGGGGGGCTGACTTCCAAGAGAGAACCGTAAACAGTTCAACTCTCCTGCTTTTAATGGAAACATAAAATGCCTTATTAAAAAAATAAGAACTTTTCTTAAGAGAGCTATGGGGATATGTGTATATAACTTCACTCTATAATCAGCTACAGGAGAAAAAGTGGGAGGGAAAGGGAAGATAGGTAACTTGGGGCAAAGAAGTGGAGAGGCCCCAGGGGGTCATAATCCAAAGGGGGCATGACAAGCAGGTACAGATGCAGAAAAGGAATCTGAGAGCCACACCACCGGAAGGGACCTTAGAAATGAGCTAGGCTTGTGACTTCATTTTAAGTGGAAATAGAGGGGCGCCTGAGTGGCTCCGCCGGTTAAGCGTCCGACTTCGGCTCAGGTCACAATCTCACAGTTCGTGAGTTCGAGCCCCGTGTCGGGCTCTGTGCTGCCAGCTCGGAGCCTGGAGCCGGCTTCAGAGTCTGTGTCTCCATCTCTCTCTGCCCCTCCCCAACTCTTACCCTGCTCCCCACCCCCCCCAAAATAAATAAACATTTAAAACTTTTAATGCAGCCTCGCATTCTGTGTCTGGAGTGGGTCTGGAGTCTGCATTTCCAACACACCCCTGGGTGGTGCAATTATAACAGGTTCAAGGACCACATTTGTAAGAAGGCTTGAGGCCAGCACTTCTCAGATGTGGCCCCTGGACCAGTAGTGTCAGCATCACCTTGGAACTTGCTAGGAATGCAAAATCTCAGCTCCCCCCAACCCCCTGCCCTCCTGCCAGACCTACTGAATCAAGACCCCAGGGTTGGGGCCCAGACCTCTGTGTTTTAACAAGCTCTCCAGGTAACTTGGTGCACATTGAGATGTAAAACCACTGCATTTGGCTATAATGCTTCCCATCAGTCTGCCACCTAGAATGTTCTAAGCGAGCATGGCAAGACTCTGTGTTCAAGTCATTACTTTTCATTGGGCTGTCTGAAACTTATACTAGGAATTATCGACATCCCAATCATTCTTTCAGGTGCCCATAAGATTTGGAGATGACACTGAGATCACAGGGCTCAAACATGATGCGTAATTAAGGAAGTGTTTCCAAAGTCCTCCCTTGTTCGGCTCACCTTTGTTGGGCTCACTCTGGTTGGTTCAGACTTCCTTCCAAGCATGGGGTTGAACTAAGAGATGTCCCCCAAAATCAGCACCCAGGGATGAAAACAGCCCCTCAACCATTTCTCTTAGGTTACAGTCTCTCCTTTAGTTCATTGCCACTTGCCCGCGCTAAGCCCCTAGACCTGGTTCTAGATTCCTCATGACCTAGATTAATCCCAGGAGCTTTTGATCTGGCCACCCTGTCTGGATGAAAATAGCAGGGCGGGGCCCTTCAGACTCAGGAGCCACCCATGCCCCAGACTCAGCCATCTCCCTGGTCTTCCCAGCCCCACTGCAGTCATGAGTTCTGATGCCGAGATGGCCATTTTTGGAGAGGCAGCTCCCTACCTGCGGAAGCCAGAGAAGGAGAGAATCGAGGCACAAAACCGCCCATTTGATTCTAAGAAAGCCTGCTTTGCAGTGGACGATAAGGAAATGTACGTGAAAGGTATGATCCAGAGCAGGGAAAATGACAAAGTCACGGTCAAGACCCTGGATGACCGGGTAAGTGTTGATCTCAGACGTCCTTGAAAATGTGGGCATCCTCAGGCACCTTTGGCGTGGAATATTAGAAATCGCATGCTAGTCCCTAGCGATCTGAAGATAGAACATAACTTATGTTTATCTATCCCGTAGTGAAGTGACATTTGCAACGACCTTCATTCCTGCTTCTTTCGTTTTTCCAGGACGTGGGCTCTGAGAGTTTTTGTGATGGTTGCTTTGGAGAAAGGGGAAGGTTGGGGTAGCAGAGGTCAGACCATTTAAGGGAAAGATTGGGCCTGGTGGTTGCTGAGTAGGCCAGGCAAACATCATTCCCTAGGCCGCAGAGTGACTTACAGAAGAAACACTGGACGTGATGCCTAGCTTACTGTAGAGAATTACCGGGCATCATTCAGTTCAGTGTTCACTGGACGCCCACCACATCTGGCGTCTGTCACTTTGTAAATAGAAGCAAATCTCACAACCTGCCTTCCCAAAGTTTACCATCTAGGGTAGGAATCAAGATGTGACTGGCAGGTATGACTCTCAGTTCACAAACTCAGGCATATGAGGCAGATCTTTATTTTATTTATTGTTTGTTGATTGAACTTAACCTCTGACTTCAGCCTCTTTTCACTGAGCTGGGAATAAATCTTCTTAAGTCATTCCCAGGGGCCCCTCCTATGATTGAGCCTAGTTTTTGGAACCTTAAGCAGTGACACGCTGAGGATCTCACTGCCTCCCTGAACGATTTGCTAAGAAACAAGTGCCAGTATCTAAAGGTTCAGGATGCACAGACTTTTCCAGCTCCCCTTATACTGTCTTGGGTATCTCTTTAGAACAGAGCAGTGGGGCAAATGAGTCTCCCTTCCTCAAGAGATTTGGCCCATACCAACAAATCCCCACCTTTTTGTCTTTTCACTAAAACCCTCAAAGCTTTTCTAAGTACTTAGGCTTTGGGAAACCAGAAGCCAGAGAGCTTTATAGGCTTTTGCTCTTTTCTTCCCTATTTTCTACCTCTCCTGAGTAACGGAGTGCAAAGTTAGCTGTATGCTCAAATGGAGAAAATGCACCGAAGGGAAATTAAGTAACAGTCTCAGAAATATATAGTTTAACCACGGACCATGGTGTAAATGTATTAGAGCAGAGCTGCAAGGAATGATGGAAGCCTAGAAAAGATGAGGAAACAAGAAACAGATCACAAGAGAGGTGTTCCTTGAGCTAAACCTTGAGGGTTTCTGAACATAATTTCAATGAAGGTATTTGAGACCAAGGAACCCATGTACTCCGTACAGCAGGGTACTGAGGTGGAAATGCACAGAATACATTGGAATACTTCTTTCCAGCCTTTGTCTCATATCAGCACTCACAGCAGATGGGTTAAAAAGAGGCTACTTGCCGTGGCCTTGGCCTTCCTGAGTCCCAATTCGACCCTAAGGGCTGAATGGCTCTATTGCTGTGCATACCTGTGACTCATTCCCAGCACACGGGACGACATGCTGACAGGGGGCATCAGACCAGAACTGGTTATGCAGTTTGACCAGAATCAAGGATAGTTATTCGTGGTAATGGGGTAATGACACTGCAGTATCTCACTACTTCCCCCACACCAAGTAGAGTGGGGGTACAGGTCATCGGCTCTCCTACTCATCACGTGCTTTTTTCCCTAAACCCCCAGACACTCACCCTGAACAGTGACCAAGTCTTCCCCATGAACCCTCCCAAATTTGACAAGATCGAGGACATGGCCATGATGACGCACCTGCACGAGCCTGCCGTGCTGTACAACCTCAAAGAGCGTTACACAGCCTGGATGATCTACGTGAGTGCCCTGTGGCATCTCCTTATTCTGCCCCTCTCTCCGGGTAGAGACCAGATCCACACGCTGTCTTTTCTGGATTTCTCAGACCTACTCGGGCCTCTTCTGCGTCACCGTCAACCCCTACAAGTGGCTGCCGGTGTACAACCCCGAGGTGGTGGCCGCCTACCGAGGCAAGAAGCGCCAGGAGGCCCCGCCCCACATCTTCTCCATCTCCGACAACGCCTATCAGTTCATGCTGACGGGTGAGTGATTTCTTCAATCCATATTTTTTGCAAATAGTTTTTAGTTCCTTATTCAAACCCTTTAACTGGACTGGTTCTTAGCTACCTATTCAAGCCCTTCGATCACCTGGATGGGACGATGGTCAAAGTGACCTTGGGAGACTCTGATGACTTCGTGATAATTTCACAGTGTCTTCCATTAGCAGCCATGGTGCCTAGGCCGGTGCCGATGACTGACGCCGCGCTGCGCACATGCTTATTTGGGGGAACACAGAACACAGGGAGATATCCTGTCCCTACCTCCAAAGAACCCCCTAACATGAACATGCGTAGAAGAGACTATTAGTGGCCACTAGAATGCAAAGTTGGAGAAATGGGCATAGCAATGTCTCTGCACTGTCTTCCTCCCCAGATTCAGGCTCCTCTCTCTCTCCTCTAAATTTCCAGGAGGGTACAGGACATAGAGATGTGGCTATACCATCATGCCATCATGTTTTTCTGTCACTTTGACCTGTGCCACTTTCACCTGACTCAATTTGGTGCAGACTTAAAAAGTAGAAGCAAGCCTCTGAGATCTGAAGACCCTGAAAGTCATCTCCTAGACCTCATGTTGTCCAAACCTCAGCCCTTCCTCTCTCACACTCAGTCCTAGACATTACTGCACACTTCATATCTGTCTGCAAATCAACTGAAGTTACATCTGTTAAAAAGAAGATCGATAGCACTATTTTTTTTTTATTTGGGGCTGTAGGGTTTTTTAAAAAATGTTTTAATGTTTATTCAATTTTGAGAGAGGAACAGAGAGAGAGAGTATGAGCAAGGAAAGGACAGAGAGAGAGGGAGACCAGAATCCGAAGACAGGCTCCAGGCTCTGAGGTGTCAGCACAGAGCCCAACACGGGGCTTGAACCCACGACCTGTGAGATCATGACCTGAGCCAAAGTCAGACACTCAACAGCCTGAGCCACCCAGGCACCCCTTATTTATTTACTTTGAGAGAGAGAGAGAGAGATACTCTTAAGAGTGTGGATTCTACTGAGTGTGGAATCTGACTCAGGACTCAAAGCCACAAACCATGAGATGATGACCTGAGATGAAATCAGAAGTCAGACATTTAACCGACGGGGCCCCCCGAGTGCCCCCAATAGCACTATTTGTATGAGTTTCTAGGGCTGCTGTGGCAAAATACCGTAGAACGGGCTGGCTTACACACCAGAAATTATTGTCTCAAAGTCTTGAGGTGGGAAATCCCAGGCTGGGGTATCAGCGTGGTTGGCTCCTTCCAAGGACAGAGACAGTATCCGTCCCCTGCCTCTCTTGCAGTTCCTGGAGGTTTCCTGGCTGTCTTTGGGGTTCCTTGGCTTGTAGAAGCATCACTCTGCTCATACATCTGCCTTCACATGGTGTTCTCCCTGAGTGGATGATAAGGACCTCAATCGTATTGGATTAGGGTCCCACCCACTCCAGTGCGACCTCATCTTCACTAATAGCTCCTACAAAGACCCAGTTTTCAGATAAGGTCATATTCTGAGGTCCTGGGGGTAAGGATCTCAACACAGCCATTTGCAGGGGACACAACTCAACTCATAAACGACTATAAACAGGAAACCGTGATGGCTTTCCGCGAGTACAGAGCAAAGGTAAAAGAAAATCTCAGTGACAACCAGTGTCCGTAGACTCTAATGAGAAGCCGTGCCTTCCCACAAACCCTGAGTCTGAGACTTGTTCTTTGCTGAGAAATTGCCAGCAAGCAAGGAGTTAAAGACCTGTGACTACATAACTTCCACACTGTGGGGTTCACGGTTCGCTGGCCCTGCTGACCGAGGCCCCGCATCTGGGAAATCTGCACAGACTGTCTCGAGGGGGATCGGACGCGCCCCGGCGCCCCACTGCTAGCCCGCGGCCGAGCCACGTGAGCCCCCGCCACCCCCAGCGTTGCCCTGCTCGTTTGCATTCCAGCATTTGCTGTTTCTTTATTTCCTTTTCTTCCCTCTGCATTTCCAGATCGAGACAATCAGTCCATCCTCATCACGTGAGTAACCTGTGTTTGCACCACGAGGACTTGGGAGCCAGAGCCGCCCCTTCCCACTCCTCTGTCTCATGTACTTTTAAATCCGGCAGCGGAGAATCCGGGGCGGGGAAGACGGTGAACACCAAGCGCGTCATCCAGTACTTTGCAACAATTGCGGTCACTGGAGACAAAAAGAAGGAGCAGCAGCCGGGCAAGATGCAGGCAAGCAGCTCTCCCCGTCAGCAGGTTTGCTGGCATAAGCTGTGCTTAAAGAGTGGGTGAGCACCAAGTATAGGCACCGCCTGGGGTCTGGTCCTAAGGGTGCCTTGTGGGGCAGGGCAGGACGTGGCTCCACCTGGTGGATGTGGGTGGTAGCACCGGCTCCATCTGTAAAAGCCAGGGACCCTTGAGCAACTCCACTCTTCTCCAGGAGGGATAGGTGAGGCCAGCGGGCTCTCAAAACACAGGTGAGCGCACATGAGAGTCACCAGGAGGGCTTTGAGAACTACTATTTCTATTGTATGATCTCGTGGGTCACTTTAATTGCTCAATTCCATTTGCACTTCTGAATCCAAATCTCTCTATTAGTTGAGTCCCGATGCATGCAGTGGCGGGTATATGCATTCTACAAATCCACGCTTTATAATGAAGTGTTATCAGATAAGAGAGGCAGTCTGAAAAACCAAGATGAAGCCTGGAATCTGGTGTGACCAGAGTCCTGTTGATGCTGTATGATCAGACCGTCTCCTGGACGGGATCTGGAAGCCTCCCCGAGGTGGTAGGAGCAGAGCTGTGGGTTCCTTCTCACATCTGCACTGGCCACCGGGCTGGTCCACATCTCTCCTTGGACCCTACCCAGAGCATACACACTTTCAAGTCACCAGGGGGCTCCTTCAGGGGACAATCCAAAGTCCTCCCTTTGTCTCTTCTTGTTTATTATTAGGGGACCCTGGAAGATCAAATCATCCAGGCCAACCCCCTGCTGGAGGCCTTTGGAAACGCCAAGACCGTGAGGAACGACAACTCCTCGAGATTTGTAAGACCCGGTCCAATTTTCCACTACCCCTCACCCCGGAACCAAACCCTCTCCTCAAATGCTGGATGTTAAAAAATGCCACATAAACTAGAATATAGCCAGCCCTATTCTACCCTCACGTGACTCAGATCCCCCTGCCCCGCTGGGGTATTCTGGTACACTCAAGAATGCGTTGGCTCATTCTCAGCAGAGGGAGGATTGAACTGTCCTTTCCTAACCAGACCACAACCCCTCAGAGCATCCTGAAGTTACAGCGATTCAAATTCCACAAGTAGAGAGCAATTCTTTTATGCTAAAATTGGCCTCTCAAGGTGGAGACATCTTTTTAGGAGCAGGGTGCAGAGGGAGAGAGAGAACCTTAAGCAGGCTCCACGCTCAGCATAGAGCCTGACGCGGGGCTCGATCCCCCAAACTGTGAGATCATGACCTGAGCCGATACCAAGAGTCAGATGCTTAACCTACTGAGCCACCCGGGCACCCCTTGAGGTAGAAACATTTTAAAGTGCTGAAGTCCATTCAACAAATTGTTGGCTTATTAGCCACGCAAACCTTAGTGTGAGTTAAGTGAGCAGCTTTGAATCCCTCCAAGTCAGAAGGCATTGGGAAAAGGTAAAGTGCTGGGAAGGCAGGAGAGCTCAAAACCTGGGAATAAGTTGATGTTGAAGGTACTGAAGGATATGTTCCATCCTTCAACATTTCACTTAAGATTAGCTCAGCCAAAGAGGCACGGACTTCCTCCATCAGCAAATAAACAACCAGTCCTCTACCTAATCTCACTGTACCACAAGGTGAGCAAATACCACGAGGTGAAGCCCTCACATATGCCTGTAGTTGCAAAAGTACATCAGGACTTCACACATCTCAGGAGCAGGATAATCTCAAGCTTGTATTCTGTTCTTACTTCTCAAAGATAACATGGTCACCAATGAGAAAGTAGATGTAGCCGTCAAGGACTGTGGCTGTGAGCCCTGAGCTACCTTTCTTTCTTTCCCTGGGCCCTCTGTGCATTGCCCATTTGCACATGTCTTCCCAGGGCATAACTAAAAACTCCTGCTTGTAGGGGATCTGGGTGCATGTTACACAGCAGAGATATAGTACATAAACTGGCACCAAGTCACTTTTCACGCTAACCTGGTGCCAGGAGGAAGACAATGCCCTTAGATACTCCCTATGGCCACTCCTGTTTACTAAGTCTTTAGACTTTTTCTCTTAGCCCTGACCCAGAAGTCACGATCACCCTGGTTATTTTGTCTACCTTCTACCCACCCACCAAACATCTACAGGCTAAAACTTCCATCATCTCCCACCGAGCAGCGAACAATATGGAAGACCAACACCTATGTCCACTGACCCTACACCAACTCTTCTCAAGCTTCATTCAGAAAATATATCGGGGCACCCGGGTGGTTCAGTCAGTTAAGCATCCGATTCTCGGTATTGGCTCAGGTCACGATCTCACGGTTCGTGGGATTGAGCTCCACATCGGGCTCTGCGCTGATAGCGTGGAGCCCACTTGGGACTCTCTCTCTCCCTCTCTCTCTCAAAATAAATAAATAAGCTCAAAAAAAGAAGACAATATTGAGAATATTACTGAGTAATGACTACATTCCTGACTATGGGTGAATAAGCAAGGCAACATTTTTGCCCGCAAATTTGCTCATGGAGTGGTAGAGCCCAATCGCTCATAAAATTTCACCTCTTGCTTCCCTTCCAAAGGGGAAGAACTCAGACTCTGAATGTGTATTTGAGGAGCCAGAGAGCCTGACGTGAGCTGGGAGCTAGGTTTGCCTGTAGTAAGCAGTGAGGGAAACCAAAGGAAGAAACCTCAGAAGGGAAAAAGGTCAGCAAGATAGTGAGTCCAGAGAGTCCCATCAAAGATGTCATGAAGTGTTTGGGAACCCGGGTACCAGAGAGCAGGTTAAAAACCAAGGGGACAGTCTAGAGTGAAGTGGTCTCAAGCAGAAGTTGGAGGGGCCGCTGCAGGTGTCCTCAGAGCTGGAGGAACAGAGCCAGATGCTTTGGGTAGAACTAGCTGAGTCTGGGCGGACCCAGCATGGGGACACTGGATGCCGGGCAGACAGAGAAGAGAAAAGTCCTCTGCATCTGTCATCACTGTCTCCGTGAGCCTACACTTCCCAGCTGTGGCTGGGAAGTAGCGCCTAGTGAAGGCCAGTCACAGTACCGTATAAATGAAATAACCGTGACGTTTGTCCACCTGCCGTTGGACAGGGCAAATTCATTCGGATTCATTTCGGAGCCACGGGAAAGCTGGCATCTGCGGACATTGAAACCTGTGAGTCAGGGGCACCCCATCGGGCACCGCCGGATTTGACCACAGAGGCATCTCCCGGGAACCTGAAATCACATGATTTCCTGTTGCCTTAGATCTCTTAGAAAAATCCAGAGTGACATTTCAGTTGTCCAGTGAGAGGAGCTATCACATTTTTTACCAAATCATGTCAAACAAGAAGCCAGAACTAATCGGTAAGCGCTCAGAGGTTCCTGCTCTCATCTTCCAAATCAGTCACGTTGGAAAAACACCCAGCATACAGGGTGCGCGAGATGCTGACGGGACCTCCTTCGTGTTTCGCAGACTTGCTTCTCATTTCAACCAATCCCTTTGACTTCCCCTTCGTGAGCCAAGGAGAGGTCACCGTGGCCAGCATCGACGACAGTGAAGAGCTTCTGGCGACTGATGTAAGCATCTTCTTTCCTCGCTTCCTCCTTTCTTTCAGCGTGGAATTCCTGAGCTTGTGAGCAGAGAGGCATCCTAGCAATCGAACGAGAAGCGGGGCCCCGGGGATGCTAGGCGATCAGACCCAAGATCTCAGAGATTGAGATGTCACGACAATTCATCCAGGTTACACCCCTACCCACCCAGCACCACCTCAGAAGATCCTGTGGGGGATCCGGAATGTGCTCCCAAATAGGACCTCCACTCCATTCTCCAGCACTTGAGTAGATTTTTGCACGTATAAGGTTTTGAAAGGTTTTCTCAGGTTACAAAATCATCTGCACGGTTCTTTAAGAAAAAGTTTTAAGACACAGCCAAGTGTGAAGCAGGAAAAACAGCCCAGTCTGCAGCAGACACTCCACTCCTGAGGCTACCTGCCTGCTCAGACTCACGTTCAACTCCCACATCCTTAGTGCACCCATCAGCCCCTCCCCTCCCCCCACCCCTGGCCGTTAGCTTTGGGAAGCGTTTCCAAGGTTAATAACTAGAATAATAATAACTAAGTGCATTGAGCACTTCCATGAGCTAGAAACTGAGATAAGGGCTTTGTCCGCACTATCTTGTTTACACCCCCCACCCCAAGAACCTGATATAGATATGACTATTACCTCCGATTCACAAAGGCGGAAGGGAGTCTTAGGGAAAAAAACCACACAATTTGCTCATAAATGTCAGACTGTTTGAAGTCAGATCTGCCCAACCCCAGGACTTGCATCTTTTTTAATTAATTGCATTTTTAACGGACGGACATCATCTCTGGGCAATCCGTCTCCACCACTGTCGACTCTGCCATCACAGGAGCCACAGAAGCTGGTGGAAAGGGGTCTTGTCCAACAGCCCAGGGGCACTGCCCAGTGCCCAGCTCCTTGGCTTTCATTTTGTGACATTTCCAGGTGATGCTAATTGTTTTAAGACAAGAGGAGAATTTCCTTGGACAAATAAACTTAAGTTAGCTCAAACCTAGCCGTATATATTTTTAACAAGTTTCAGCCCCTACCAACAGATAGGACGGAAATTTTGAGTTAATGACAGAGGCAAGATCTCCAGCCCCCGAGAAAAGGTCTCTTAGGTGATTCTTTTCTTTTTATGGGTTTTATTTCATTTTGAGGGAGAGGGAGGAGCAGACAGAGACACAGAATCTGAAGCAGGCTCCAGGCTCTGAGCTGTCAGCACAGAGCCCGACACAGGGCTCGAACCCACAAACCGTGAGATCTTGACCTGAGCCGAAGTTGGACGCTTAAACGACTGAGCTACCCAGGCACCCCAAGAAATGGATTTTAAATCAAATAAATATACATATTTTTTAAATCAAATATATATATATTTTTTTTTTTTTGAGAGAAAGAACAATCAGGAGAGGGGCAGAGAGAGAGGGAGAGACTAAACAGGCCCCCCACTGTCAGTGCAAAGCTTGAACTCACAAAACCGTGAGATCATGACCTGAGTTGAAGTCAAGAGGAAGACACTTAACCGATGGAGCCACCCAGGCATCACAAAGAAATGGCTTTTAACCCCTAACATAACACGCCCCACCTGCCATCCACTTCTTCGGGCAGATGCCATCTCACAGGCTGTACAGAAAGGGTGAGGTCTTCACCAGGGACAACAGAGTCTCGGTGACAACTGTCCTTTTTCTAACCCCCAGAATGCCATCGACATCCTGGGCTTCAGCTTAGAGGAGAAAGTCGGGATCTACAAGCTGACGGGCGCTGTGATGCATTATGGGAACATGAAGTTCAAGCAGAAGCAGCGGGAAGAGCAGGCGGAGCCGGATGGCACGGAAGGTAACTGCACCTGGGCACATGACCCCACACCTGCGTTTGTGTGTGGACGTAGGTTCATCCCGAGAGCTGCTCCCCGGGAGTCACACACCCTGAATTCGGGGCCTCCAAAGCTCATTGTACTTACGCTGGGGAAGTGCACTGACTGTCAAGGAATCCCATAGTCGAGAATCCTTGAAAACCAACAGCCATCACTCTCGTGAGTGAGTGACCGCCATCCACACCACCACCGCTCGCAATCACAGCTCACCAGCTGTTTTAGTGTAGACACGTCTAAGAGGATAGGGTTCCGTGAACTTCACCTTCTCTCTGTGCGCGCCATGATTGACGTGCAGCACCCTGCCCTAAGCGCCTGAGCCTAAGACAAGGTGAGGCGTTTTCCTCCTCTCGTTGCCTTGAATTCCACTCTGACATCTGTTGAACTTGAACCCCGAGCCACGGACTGGTGTGCACATCTCCGTGCGCCCTGTGACTCTCACCTGGATGATCTCCCATCCCCCTCCTGGATACAGAGCAGAGGGCAGTGGGAGGGGCTCACAGCAGCAGCCCCCAACCCCACCCCCCGCTTCCTGCCTCATCTCTCTCCTGCTGTGTCTTCCAAGCTCTGTTAAGTAAAAGGCTGGTTCATCTCCAATAACCCCTACCCGTTGTCACATTCCCCGCACTGTGGGAAGCAGTGTATCCCGATAATACAGGGAGCAGAGCAGTAGCCTTGAAAGAATGACCAGAAAAATGCACGTGACTGTATCACTGCCCACAAAGCCTCACCTGATTAGGCTGGGGTTGCCCAGGAGAGTCTCTCTTCCTTTAAGAACTCCAAGTCCACTGACGGCAGACCTCTTCACAAGAGTGACAGCCCGTAGCGCATTCCACACACAGGTAGAGGGGATTGTGCAGGGAACATCCACCAGGGGCGCCAGTCCTGGGGCCTTTCTTGGAATCCGGCCTCTGGCAGTGGTGCGAGATGAGCGTGAGGAGAGAGATCGTTCAGAGCAGGAAGTAGGGGGTAATCAGGGAAGGCTTCCTGGGGGAGGAGGGCAGTGATGTGGAGCTTGAAGGATGAGTAGGATTCTGAAAGGTGTTATTGGAGGGAAAGGACAGTATGGGCAGAGGAAACATGGTGGTCAAGGGGACAGCAGAAGGGATGTGATGGCAATAAACGGAGTGGTCACTTTGGCTACAGAAGAGGATGTGTGCAATTGTAAGACTTGGAAAATAAAAAGTAGTTATTTTGGCCTCAGTTTGCCAAGGCCTTGAATGCCGAGATAAACGGCTTAGCATGCGTACAATAGACACAAGCAACCACAGATGCACCATGTAGGAGGGGAGCTTCGTGTGACTTAACTGAGTAAAAAGGAAGCAAAAGCAAAATGTGAACATCAGGGAGCCCAAGCTCTCCACCACTATACTATTCCAAGCAATGGAGATCAAGCTATTTTGAAGGTGAAGTGAACAGTATTTGATGCCTGTCTGACCACAGGCGTGTCAGGGATGCAAAGGAAGGATATGACCACCCCAAGCTTTCAAGTTTAAGTGACTAGAACCATAACTATACCATCCGCCTAAGTGGACAAAGCAGGAAAAAACATCCATTTGGCCTCTTATTAAATACTTAACAAATACTGTCCTGGATTTTTATCAGCTCGTCTCCTGAGCCAGCGATAAGGTGGTGGTCCGAGCCAAGTAGGGGCTGTGTGTAGGGGAGCACCATCCCGTGACCTTCTCCATGAGCTCAGGGCAGGCAGCGCAGTCAATGCCCAGGTCCACTGAACTCCCAGTGAACTGTGTGCAGTCGCCAGTACCCAACTGCTTTTGACCCTCTTCCAACACACGAAGGTTGGCAAAGTTTTACTTCTCTCTCAGCTGTGAGCTTGCATGAGGAAGTGCTCAGCACACATGTCCAAACAGTGCCTCCTCAAGCCATCCACCATTTTGCTGAATTACCAGACTCCAGTATTACTATGTAACTCTATCTTTTTTTTAATGTTTATTATTTATTTTTGAGAGAGAGTGTGAGCGGGGTAGAGGCAGAGAGACAGGAGACACAGAATCCAAAGCAGGCTTGAACCCACGAGCTGTGAGTGCACAGCCTGCTTGGGATTCTCTCTCCCTAATCTCTCTGCCCCTTCCCCACTAGTTCATCCTCTCTCTCTCTCTCTCTCTCTCTCTCTCTCTCTCAAAATAAATAAACATTTAAACAGAAACACACAAAAGCAAAAGGATTATAGGAAACTTTCCGGGGGGCCCCATCAGCAGCTGCCATCTTCCTGTGACACTGTCTCCCTCTCCCTCCAGTCGCTGACAAAGCCGGATACCTGATGGGCCTGAACTCCGCAGAAATGCTCAAGGGCCTGTGCTGCCCAAGGGTGAAGGTTGGGAACGAGTATGTCACCAAAGGACAAAATGTCCAGCAGGTAACGGAGACGCTCTGAGTTCAGCTGACTCACTTATGTTGCTATTTTAACCATCATCTTAGGGGCGCCCGGGGGGCTCAGTCGGTTAAGTGTCCGACTTCGGCTCAGGTCGGATCTCATGGTTCGTGGGTTCGAGCCCCGCATTGGGCTCTGTGCTGACAGCTTGGAGCCTGGAGCCTGCTTCCAATTCTGTGTCTGCCTCTCTCCCTCTCTCTCTCTCTCTCTCTCTCTCTGCCCCTCCCCCCTCTCTCTCTGCCCCTCCCCCCCCTGCCCCTCCCCCTCTCGTGTTCTGTTTGTCTCTCTCTATCAAAAATAAATGTTAAGCGTCATCTTAGAGCTCTCTCAATTGAAGATATCAGAAATAGGGGCGCCTGGGTGGCTCAGTCAGTTAAGCGTCTGACTTCTGCTCAGGTCAGGATCTCGCGGTTCGTGAGTTCAAGCCCCGGTCGGACTCTGTGCTGACAGCTCGGAGCCTGGAGCCTGTTTCAGATTCCGTGTCTCCCTCTCTCTCTGATCCTCTCCTTCTCATGCTGTCTCTCTCTCTCTCTCAGAAATAAATAAAACATCAAAAAAAAAAAAAAGAAGATATCAGAAATAGATACGCAATTGGCTTCAGCCTGATGGAGAATTTCATTCTTACGTCCCAGGCGTAGCTAGCTCAAGGAATGTAAATCCGGGAGTGCCCTTGGGCACCATGAGGGCCTGGAGCCAGGAGCCCAAGGGTCCTCTGGAGACCGGCAGCCCCTGTGAAGCTCCTTCCTGGGGCTCCAGGGATGTCTTTGCTCTCCTCTCCCGTGTCCTCACCAGGCAGAAAAGCCCTCTCCACCCCTCCTACTCACGGCCACCTCCTAGGTCCCAAGGTGATTGGAAGACTGAGACTAAGACCAGTGTCTTTGATCCCAATTCCAAATTCCCAGGAGATACTCTGTATAACCCAACTTGGATCCGATGTCCCCTTGTGGCTCAATCACATGCAGTCAGGGCCTAGAGTCACGTATCATAACCACGGTTATGAGAAAGCTATCTTTGTAAACGGGATGGTTCTCAGAGAAAGGGGAATATCCTAAGGTAGCAAACACTTTAAGAAATATTTAGTGGTGGGGGGAGGGCGCCTGGGGGGCTCAGTCGGTTAAGTGTCCGACTTCAGCTCAGGTCATGATCTCACGGTTCGTGGGTTCGAGCCCCGCGTCGGGCTCTGTGCTGACAGCTCAGAGCCTGGAGTCTGTTTCAGATTCTGTGTCTCCCTCTCTCTCTGCCCCTCCCCTGCTTGTGCTCTGTCTCTGTCTCTCAAGAATGAATAAACGTTTAAAAAAATTGTTTTTAATATTTAGTAGGGACACCTGGGTGGCACAGTTGGTTAAGGATCCAACTCTTGATCCTGGCTCTGATCATGATCTCATGGTTCATGAGTTCGAGCCTGGCAGTGTGCTGTGCACTGATGGTGCAGAGCCTGCTTGCGATTCTGTCTCTCTCTCTGTCCCTCCCTGACTTGTGCGAGCTCGCTCACTCTCTCTCTCTCAAAAATAAATAAGTAAACAAACAAACTTTAAAAAAAATACACTTAATATTAGGTTGGACTCTATGGAATTGCCAATCTCCAACAGCTTTTGACTGTGAAGATGCCATCAGGTTCATGCTTCAACTTAATACAACCTTATCAACATGAATCTGAGGGGTGAGTGAGTGATCTTTCTTCAAGGTGACCAACGCGGTGGGAGCTCTGGCCAAGGCCGTCTACGAGAAGATGTTCCTGTGGATGGTCACCCGCATCAACCAGCAGCTGGACACCAAGCAGCCCAGGCAGTACTTCATCGGGGTCCTGGACATCGCCGGCTTTGAGATCTTTGACGTGAGTCGGTGGAATCAACGGCCTGGTTAAGGCCCTAGCACTTCGTGTCTGCTCTGCGGAACTCCCACTGGGTTTTCCGAACTCACTCGAGCTCTTTGGTGTTTGCAACCCCCTAGTTCAACAGCCTGGAGCAGCTGTGCATCAACTTCACCAACGAGAAGCTGCAGCAGTTCTTCAACCACCACATGTTCGTGCTGGAGCAGGAGGAATATAAGAAAGAGGGCATCGAGTGGGAGTTCATCGACTTCGGGATGGACCTGGCTGCCTGCATCGAGCTCATCGAGAAGGTAGAGAAACCGAGGTGCTCCCCGGTGGACCCCTCCTTGGTGGGGACCACCATCTCTTTGCTGTTACTCTTCCCTGCTAATTGAATGGTGACCCTAACCCTACTCTCCCAGCCTTCAGAGAGCTGAATCCCCTTGCACAGGAAGAGACAGTATTTGGAAAGCATGTGTAATTCAGACACCGTAAGGGGTACATGGGTGGTTAAGATCCAAGGGCTCCGATCTCCCCAAGAATGTGAGGAGGTCTTAGAACCATGTTATTATAAAAATAGCAGAGGACATTAACTTAAAAAAAAAAAAAAGGGAGGGGTTCCCCTGGAAGGCTTAGCCGATTGAGCTTCTGACTCTTGATTTTGGCTCAGGTCACAATCTCATGGTTCATAAGTTTGAGCCCCAAATCAGGTTCTGCACTGACAGTGTGGAGCCTGCCTGGGATTCTTTCTCTCCCTCTCTCTCTCTGCCCCTCCCCAACTTCCATTGTCTCTCTCAAAATAAATAAATCTTAATAAAAAGGCGGGGGGGGGCGGCGACTGGGTGGCTCAGTTGGTTGAGCATCTGACTTCAGCTCAGATCATGATCTCACAGTTCATAGGTTTGAGCCCTGCTCTGACAGCTCAGAGCCTGGAGCTGCTTCAAATTCTGTTTCCCACTCTCTCTGCCCCTCTCCCACTTATGCTCTGTCTCTCTCTGCCTCTCAAAAATAAATAAATGTTTAAAATTTTTTTAATAAAAAAATACATTTAAAAAAAGGGAATTCCTGTAGCATCTTGAGCACTGTCATGTTGGAATGAGTTTATCTTCCTAAAGTGGCTACTGAGGTGTCCAAACATTATAGTCTAAGTATAACTCAAAGTATTTTATGTCTAGGTACATAACTTTACTCTTCTGGGGTAAACCAATCACTAAAAGTGAGCTACTTTTATAATAAATACATACAGTCTCTCTCTGTGCTCTCTTGTTTAACAAGTGTTCGTTAAGCACGTACTATGTGGCTAGCACTATTCTGTTACCGCATCTTGCTCTCCCAGCGCTTACCTTGCATGGCTCTTCGCCACAAAGCAGGTAAAGAAATTTTGCACCAAAGAAATTGTGTTTGGCTCCTGCAGTCAATGGAGTCATGAAAACGTCCTGTGACATAAATGCTGACAGGTGGTTCCTTCTCCTTTCAGCCCATGGGCATCTTCTCCATCCTGGAGGAGGAGTGCATGTTCCCCAAGGCCACGGACACCTCCTTCAAGAACAAGCTGTACGACCAGCACCTGGGCAAGTCTGCCAACTTCCAGAAACCCAAGGTGGTCAAGGGCAGGGCAGAGGCGCACTTCTCGCTGGTGCACTACGCGGGCACCGTGGACTACAACATCGCCGGCTGGCTGGACAAGAACAAGGACCCGCTGAACGACACCGTGGTCGGGCTGTACCAGAAGTCCTCGCTTAAGCTGCTGTCCTTCCTTTTCTCCAACTACGCAGGTGCAGAAGCAGGTGAAAGCCTCCCCCACCGCTGTGCGGAAAGCTCTGTGTCATTGCTTATAACCCAAAGCTGCTCTGGAAAAACCAGTAGGCATCTGTGAGCTTCAGACTGAGCTGCGTGTATCTGTCTGCCTCTGATCTCTAATTTTCTTTCTCCTAATCTTCCTCTTCCTTAAGAGATTGAGTGCTATGGAGGTACACTGGGCCTCTCAGGGAACAAAATAGCCAATAGCACATTTATTTATTTTTTAGAGAGAGAGACAGAGTGTGAGCAGGCAAGGGCAGAGAGAGAGAGGGATGCACAGAATCTGAAGCAGGCTCCATGTTCTGAGCTGTCAGCACAGAGCCCAACGTGGGGCTCGAACTCACAAACCATGAGATCATGACCTGAGCTGAACTCCAGCGTTTAACCGACTGAGCCACCCAAGCACCCGCCAATACCACACGTTTTAACAGCTTTTCAAAATTGAGAAGATGGGGCCCGCTGGCTCATTGGAGGAGCTTGTGACTCTTGAGCTTGGGATCATGAGTTCAAGCCCCACATTGGGTGTAGAGATTATTTAAATAAATAAACACTTTCTTTTAAAAATTGAGGTACAATTCATGCACCATACAGTCTACTCTTTGGAAAATCCAATGGTCTTTAGTATATTTACAGGGCGTGCAACCATCCGCGCCATCTCAATCGAGAACGTTTTCATCAATCCCTTCACCAGGTCCCAGCAACTAGAAATCTACTTTCTGTCTTTCTGTGTCTACAGATTTGCCTATTCTGGTCATTTCATGTAAATGGAGTCAGACACTATATTGTCTTCGTGTAGAAGAATGGTTTCAGGGTTGGTCTGTGTCATGGCATGTATCAGTACTTCACTTCTTTTTATTTTTTTGACTTTATTTATTTATTTTGAGAAAGAGAGAATGAGCAAAGGAGGGACAGAGAGAGAGGGATTGAGAATCCCAAGCAGGCTCTGCACTACCCACGCAGAGCCTGATGCAGGGCTCAAACCCACCAACTATGACCTGATCGAAGTCAAGAGTCAGAGGCTTAACCGACAGATCCACCCAGGCACCCCACATGGGTAGATCTTGAGGGAATAATGCCAAGTGAAATAAGTCAGACAGAGAAAAACAAATCCTGTACGATGTCACTTATATGTGGATTCAAAAAAAAAAAAAATCAAACTCATGGAAACAGAGATCAGACTTGTGGTTGTCAGAGGTGGGGGTGAGAGGTAGGGAAATTGGGTGAAGGTATCAAAAGGTACAAACTTCCTGTTATGAGATAAATAAGTTCTAGGACATAATATGAAAAATTCAGTTATAAGATAAATAACTTCTGGGATGCAATGTACTGTGTGCTGACTATAGTTAGCAATACCGTATTGCATATTTAAACTTTTTTATTCTTTATTTATTTTTGAGAGAGAGAGTACGAGTTGGGAAGGAACAGAGAGAGAGGGAGACACAGAATCCAAAGCAGGCTCCAGGTTCCCAGCTGTCAGCACAGAGCCCAATGTAGGGCTCAAACCCACGAACCGTGAGATCATGACCTGAGCCAAAGTTGGACGCTTAACCAACTGAGCCACCCAGGCATCCATGTATTATATATTTAAAAGTTGCTAAGAGGGGCACCTGGGTGGCTCAGTTGAGCAACCGACTTCTGCTTAGGTCATGATCTCATGGTCCGTGGGTTCGAGCCCCACATCGGACTCTGTGCTGACAGCTCGGAGCCTGGAGCTGCTTCAGATTCTGTCTCCCTCTCTCTCTGCCCCTCCCCCGCTCACACTCTGTCTTTGTCTCTCTCTCTCTCTCTCTCAAAAATAAAGATTAAAACATTTTTAATATATATATGTACATGTATCAAGTCATTTTGTCCTACACCTGAAAGTTACACAATGTTATATGTCAATTGTATCTCAATAAAACTGGGGGGGGGGAGGCCACCACTGTGTCCTCAGGGCTGCACCTGACACACCTTCTGTGTCCCTCCAGGTGACTCCGGGGGAAGTAAGAAGGGCGGGAAGAAGAAGGGCTCCTCTTTCCAGACTGTGTCCGCTGTGTTCAGGGTTTGTATTCTGGCCAGTTCCGCATTCTCTTGTTTCTCTGCCCAGTGAAATGGCATTTGCTAAGTTCAGGGTGCTTGCTCTGATTTGTGTCCCAGGAAAATTTAAACAAACTGATGACCAATTTAAGGAGCACCCACCCTCACTTTGTGCGATGCCTGATTCCCAACGAGACCAAGACTCCTGGTGAGTAGGAATCCATCGGAACAGGACTCCCCGAAATGTGTGCAGACTTCTGCGTGCGTGCACGTGTGTGTGTTTCCCTCCAGGAAAGCGTTATATAGTCTTTATGACTTCTCAACGGCGTCCACAAAGTAAGACTGCCAGATTTAGCAAATAAAAGTACCATTCGAAATTAGGTTCGAATTTCACAGAAACAACGAAAAATTTCTCAGTGTAAGTATGACCCACGCCATATGTGGGATACACTTACACGAAAAAATGATTTACAGTATCTGAAATTCAAATTCAGCTTGGCGTCCTATATTGTGTCTGGCAACCCCCCCTCTGAGGTCAGATCCTAAGTAGCGTATGTACGTATAGAGGTGCATTCGATCCGTGACTTTCATAAAGGTTCTCCCAGGCTCTGTGGCTCCCTTTCCCCAAAGACGCCCACTGCGCGTTGGGTGTTTTACAGTTAAAACAGCAGCAATAACACGTGTTTTCTGAGCCTCTATTGTATCCAGCTACTTCATCACTTCTATTGCTTACTGTCTGCATTTTACAGATGGGAAAACTGAGAACTGTAGATCTAAAATGCTGTGTAGTACAGTAGACCCTTCACCGTCGCTCAAGCCCAGATCCACATTCTTTTTTTTTTTTTAATGTTTTATTTATTTCTAGGAGAGAGAGAGAAAGACAGCGTGAGCAGGGGAGGGTCAGAGAGAGAGGGAGTCACAGACTGAAACAGGCTCCAGGCTCTGAGCTGGCAGTCAGCACAGAGCCCGACGCGGGGCTCGAACCCACGAACTGCGAGATCATGAATTAAGCGAAAGTCGGACGCTTAACCGACTAAGCCACCCAGGCGCCCCAGATCCACAAACATTCTTAGAGTATAGGTGTGGCTTAGGCTCATTGGTCACAGACGGAAGGGCACAAGCTGTGGCTCCGAGGCAGCCTGCTTAGAGCTGAGATGTCTGTAGCAAACATGAGTGAGTGTCTGCCTCAGCAGCGTGACAAGTGAGCAGAGGCATTCGAAGCCTAGAGAAGGAAGTCCCAGCTTCACCGGTTACTGCCCATGGGAAACTTAGCTGAGCACTTCAGCTTTCTGGGCTATAAAACGAGGATCAAAGTGGCATTTTATTCATGCATTCACTTAGTTAGCTATTCATTTATTTAATGAGTGCTTGTAAACTTTGTAAATAGTAATTCGTTTAACTGCCTCAGGGGCGCCTGGGTGGCTCAGTTGGTTAAGTGTCTGACTCTTGGGGTTTTGGCTCTGGTGACGATCTCACAGTTTGTGGGGTTGAGCCCTGCGTCAGGCTCTGCAGTAACAGTGGGATTCTCTCTCTCTCCCTCTCTCTCTCTCTGTACCTCCCCTGCTCATAGGCGCTCTCTCTCAAGATAAATAAAGTTTAAAAAAAAATACCCTGGGGCTCAGTCGATTAAGCATTCGACTTTGGCCCAGGTCACGATCTCGCTTTTTGTAGTTTCGAGCCGGCGTCGGGCTCTGTGCTGACAGCTCAGAGCCTGGAGCCTGCTTCCGATTCTGTGTCTCCCTCTCTCTCTGCAACCCCCCCGCCCCCGCTCACACTCTCTCTCTCAAAAATAAGTTAAACATTAAAAAAAATTATTAAAGAAAATAATAACCCGCCTTAGAGGGTTGCAGTGAGGATTTGATGTCGAGCATTTTAACCGGGACCGTGCACACTGTGAAGAGTCAGTGCATGTCAGCTGTCAGTCATAACAGTAACAATTGTTATTAGTATCATAATTATGAGAAGACTTATGATGATAATATTATGTATGATGATAATCATAAGAGCAATAATAACACTGTGGGGAAATAATTTTATTATTATATTGATAATTATATTGATTGCTATATTAATGATCGCATTGTATTATTCTTACCATATCTATTATTATTATACTGTAAGCCAGACATTTTATTTCTTTATTGTTATTTTTTCAAGGTTTGTTTATTTATTTTGAGAGAGAGAGAACACGAGCAGGGAGGGGCAGAGATGGAGAGGGAGAGAGAGAATCCCAAGCCTGCTCCACGCTGTCAGCACAGAGCCTGACGTGGGGCTCCATCCCAAGACCGTGAGACCATGACCTGAGTCGAAACCAAGACTTGGACACTTAACCGCCTGAGCCACCCCAACGCCCCCAAGCCAGACATTTTAATTCTCTAAACAGTGAAGCCTACTATGTGTAGTAGAATTCATCTTCCATGAAAGCCTAAGTCAAAGGCAAAACCAGCTACCGCGCTGTTTGGGACCCACATGGTTTGTGCACGCCACACACCCCCAGTGTGCCCAGCACACAGCCCATTTCTCCCCCAGGGTTAGAAAAGGGCTGCTTCCTTGGTTAAACATCAGACAAAATTGTTGGCTTATGTGTGGGATGTCATGTCATAAAGAAAGTTGAGTTCCATTGTTGGTGTTTTGTGAGCACATTTGCACAAATCAAACATGGATGGCATGACTTATCCATAAGGCACACACCTGTAAATATCAAGTGACGGGGGTAGGTTGCCCCTTGCTGGCTGCAGCGTATGCCTCTGGGGGCCCCCCAGGGTGTCTGGAAATCCACTAGTTTACTTTTTCTCTTGGAGGATAAATCGGGATGAAATCTCCATCTCTTCCTCTCCATTTGGCTTCTTCTTTGCTCTGGCAGTTCTCTGTTTTCATTCCCATTTCTGAGAATAGACTACGACCATACCATAGACATGCATACTGATAGACTAATAGACTATTAGGCTAATAGACTAATACATGTAATAGAATGCATATTATACATATACGTATATGTATAGTATATGTATTGTATGTATGTATGTATATAATACATATATAATGAATAGACTCTAGACATACAAGAGCCTGGATGATGCTTTGAAAAGCACCTAGTGGGGCCTCTTCATTTTCTAGAAGAGGGGATTGGGACTGTGGGAGATTTAAATGCTGCCGCGGGGTGTCCAGAGCTGGGACTGGACCCATGGTCCCTGATCAAGCCACAAACTGCTTCTCCCACTCACAGGCATGCTTGGTGCATTGTAGCGGCTCTCGCAAGGGGATCAAGGGGAACATCTGGGGAGGAATGGGTGGCAAGAACGGTGAGCAGATAGGATCGGCTAGTGTGGATCATCTCAGCGGACCCCAGGGTGTGGGGGCTGCCCTGGGTGTCTGGTCCCCAGCCTGAGTGTGAAAGCCTGATAAGGCACTGGCTGGGGGCACACGGGGTTTGGGTTGGTTGGCATGGGTGTGAGATGGGTGCTCATGGGGGAGCAGCTGGTCATCCTAGGAGCCGGCTAGCTCTGGGAAGGGCAGCCTCTAGGGGTCTCAGTGTAAGAAACATGATTCACACGATTGCCCACAGAGCTCAGAATGCAGGGAAAGGCGTGAGATGAGGTGATGAATGAGGAGTAGAGAGCAAATTCTTTAGCAACAGTAACACGAGAAAGATAAAGCAATAGCTCAGGGGACTTCTTAGACGTTTTGCACGTGGGTCAGGGGGCAAAGAGGGTTCTTCTTGTGGGCCTTCCAGAGACAGTCTCCGCCTGGGTTGGAGGGGCACAGGGAGAGCCCTGTGAGAAGTCAACCCTATTCTGAGCCTGCGGCAAAAGCAGGGGCCCCTGAGGAGGAAGGGTCCAGGCTCAGCTCTGCAACTACCAGGCAGGGCCCTTACCTGTCCAGGAAGTGGGGGCACAGAAAGTCCAAGTTCACATAGCTTAGCGAACAGCACAGCCAGCATCTGAGCCCCTCAGAATCCTCATCTGGGAAATATCAGGACCTGGACCAAGTGAGCCCTAAGCTTCACTCACCTGAGAGCTCCTCTGAGTGTCTGATACAGTTCTCCTTGGCCTTAACCACTCCTTCCTCGTGAGAATCACTGTCCAGTAGAACCTTCTGGAATGATGAAAATGTTCATGTCTGCGCTGTCCAGTATGGCAGCCACTGGGTACATGACATGAGGCTCACACAGCTGAGAAAATGAACTTGCTGTTTTATCGAATTGAAATAACCACACACGGCCAGAAACTATTATATCAGACAGCACAGATCTAGCAGAACCTTGAAAATTGCATAAATGAACAGTCCTCTCTCCACCCAGCAATGAGGAAAATGCATGGGCCTTCTAGAAGTTTCCAGAAGGCTCATTAAAGGCAACTTTAGCCCACCCCCTCCCCAGCAACTTAAGGAACCCACAAGGAAAAGCCATTATACAGCCACAATACTGTGGCTCCTAACTGCTCACACAGCCCCAGTATAGAATTTTCTCAGTCCCTGTTTGATTGGTGCCTGACCCAAGAGCATCCCCAGTGGGGGGCTTCTTCCTATGGCCCCTCTTCTTCCACCCAGCTTCTGTGGTCCCCTTTCCTTTCCAGAGCTCATGCTCTGCTGTCAACTCCCTGTGCCCTCTACCACAGCTGTCCTCTCTTTCTCTGTCCCTCTAAAGGCACAGCCTTCAGAGTCTTACATCCTTGTCCTTGAGAAGGGAAGGCATCTCAAGTTCTCCAGTAGGAAGTCCAAGGGGTACCCACACCCATTCTGCCCTCCCTTGGAGCCTAGCTACCGACTCAAGGCTAAAGATCAGTATTTTGTCCTTTGTCCCATAGTAATGGGGTGCTTGAGTGTCCCCAGAAGGTTGAGATTATTTCCACTGTGAGACTGTAGGTAGGCTCCAGCCACTCCCAACCCCTCTGCCTTAGAGCTGGCACTGACTCCTTCCACTCGAGTCTGGGTGTGCTGGTGTGTTTCATGGTGGCCAGACCATCAAAGACGATGAGAAAGCCGCCGACATACCCCCCCACCCCCGGGACTTTCTCCCCCCAGGCGTGATGGACCACTACCTGGTCATACACCAACTGCGCTGTAACGGGGTCCTCGAGGGCATCCGGATTTGCCGGAAAGGATTCCCCAGCCGGATCCTCTATGCTGACTTTAAACAGCGGTAGGTCACCTGACTTTGCCTCTGTCTCCTTTTGAGGACATTTTGTGCGTTCCCCGAAGGCGCTCCTTGGGCTGGGTGTTGGGTGAGCTCTGTCTTCAGCTGGAGGATGATCTAATCCCAAAGCGAAGGGGGGTATCCCCGAACGGTCGCACGGTCCGAGCCCCACCCCTCCAGACCAGGGTTTCTCAACTTCGGCACTACTGGCATCTGGGGCTAGATAATCCTTCGTTGTCGGGGCCGCCCTGTGTGTTGGATTTTAGTGGCATCGCTGGTCTCTACCTATAGTGTTGGTAGCAAAGCACACCCCACCCAAACTGTGACAATCAAGTGTCTGCAGACATCCCCAGATGTCCCCTGGGCATGGGTGGGGGCGGAGAGGGGGGATAAATCGTCCCCAGTTGAGTCCCACTGCTCCAGACCAGCACTCTCCTCCCAGCTGCCATCCAGGCCCACGGGTCAAGTTCAGGCCTTGTCTGGAGCAGAGGAAGGGAGGGGACACTCCAGATGTAGGAGGCCCACAGGTCTGCAAGTCACAGTTGATTTCAACTGTTCTCTTACGTCAAATAAGAACCATTTCCCCTGAAAGCAAACGCCCAGCTGTATACCCAGCGAGGGGTCGGTTTCTCTCTCCTGCCACAGCCCGTTGTCTAGAATCGACCCCCTCGATTCCCCCTCTGCCAGACTAGCTGTCTGGCATTTCCTCCTAAGGCCGGAGCAGGAAGTTTCTAGAAGGCCTAGTCTTAGGTATACAGCAGGCCCTATCTCAAGCATGGGGTCTTTCTTGGGGATTGAATCCATTCAGGAAATGTTGTCCATCAACTAATACCACCGTCCAGCCTCTCACTGCCATGCTGATGAGGGGCCCCCAGTAGATGCTAGTCTGACCAGCTTCCAGTGTTGGGCCGGAGTGAGGGCGAGGGGTCCTCTCGGCTTCCCGTGTGCTTGGCCAACTGCTTGCAGACTCTTGTTGCCTAAACTGTCAGGGGAGGGCAAGGCCTTTCTCACCTCAGTCATCACAGAAAGATTGGCCTGGGTCCTAGCAGGGATCTCCGGCCCGTGGGCCTGGGCAGAGAAGAAAGTGCATGAAGGGGGCACCCTCTCAGCTCTGTGCAGCCAGGCGCCCTTCTCCCCGGAGGCCCCCCACCCCCACCCCCAGCTGCCCGCTGGTATCTGACCAACCTCTCTCCCTCCTCAGCTACCGGATCCTCAACGCCAGTGCCATCCCCGAAGGGCAGTTTATTGATAGCAAAAACGCTTCTGAGAAGCTTCTGAGCTCCATCGACGTGGACCGCGAGCAGTATAGGTTTGGCCACACCAAGGTGAGAGCGTGTGAAGAAGCTGGGACACTCCCAGCACACCTGTGTAGCCCACAGCCCCACCTGCTTGGAGGAAAGGGCCTCACCGCCCGTCCAGTCAGCCTGAAAAACCCGTTGTGCAGGAGCCCAAGCAGAGGGAGCCTGGGTCTAGGTATCAAGACTTCTGTCTCTGTGTTGGTTGCTAAGTGCCTGGCGGCTTAACTGGAAGCCAGGGCCCCCTCAGCAGTGGAAGAAAGCAATGGGAGGTTCTAGTCTCCTGAGAGAGCAGAGAAAAGGCACTCTCTTTTTTTTAATGTTTATTTATTTTTGAGAGAGAGGGAGAGAGACACAGGGTGAGCAGGGGAGGGGCAGAGAGAGAGGGAGACACAGAATCCAAAACAGGCTCCAGGCTCCGAGCTGTCAGCACAGAGCCCGACACGGGGCTCGAACGCACGGACCGTGAGATCATGACCTGAGCCGAAGTCGGACGCTTAACCGACTGAGCCCCCCAGGCGCCCCTAGATAAAGGGACTCTTAAATGGGACGAAAGAGTCCAGGAGAGAGGAGAACCCAGCAAGGATCCAGGAACAGTGACAGTTTGGAGGGAATGGTCACAACAGAGAAAAGGGCTGCCGTTTACTGACCACGTGTGGACCCTGTGACTCCCCCTCTATGCCCCTTGCACCCGGTCCTCCCGGCATCCTGAAGTCAAGTCCTCCCGGAGGGCTCTGACCTCACAGGGTTACAGGTCGGGCAGGGGAGATACAGGCTCCAAGAGACACTGAGGCACAAAGACCAGCTTCAAGTCCTGGCCTGACTCCAGAGTTCTCCCTCCTGAAAGGGCCAGGCTGGGGCCTGCTGGCCTCCCGGGGCGCCCCGCTTCCTAGGAACGCTGGTGCGGGCCGAGGGTGCGCGGGCCCGAGGGTGGGGCCAGCCTCAGACGGGCAGACAGACAGGAGACTGGGGAGGCAGGACCATGCGCATTTCTCCTAATCAGGGCACAGCTGGGTCCTGAGGTCACTCTCCAGACTCATCCTTGCCTGTCCCAGTCGGTGCTTGTGGGTTGACGGGGCCCAGAATGTACTTCGGAACAGGGTACAGGCTTGAATGTACTTCAAGCCAGGGCGCTGAGGGCGGAGGGCTGGTTTGGGCACAAACAGGCTCCCCGGGGGGCCCCAGGTTACGTGCCTGCTGAGAACAAAGCAAAGCCCATTTCTCCTCTGATGCAGGTGTTTTTCAAAGCCGGACTCCTCGGACTCCTGGAGGAGATGAGGGACGAGAAGCTGGCGACCCTGATGACACGCACGCAGGCCATCTGCCGGGGGTACCTGATGCGGGTGGAGTTCAAGAAGATGATGGAGAGGAGGTGATGTGGGCCCCTCACCCCACCTTACGCTGCCCTCCCTACTCCACAGCTGATCGCTGCTTCCTGTTAGTCTTGGGGGATTCACATCCTGGTTCATTCATTTAACCAACACCTGCTGAGCACCCGTTCTGTGCCGGGGACACAGAAGGGATTCTTTCCCCCCCAGCAGCGCAGGGACGGGCGGAAGCAAACACCTGCACCTTTGACTGCAATGCCCGTGAAAGTGCAATGTCAGAGTCATATTCAGGGCAGTGGGGAGAATAAGCCTTCCACGTGGCTGGGAGTTGGGGCCGGCTGAGGGGCTCAGCAAGAGGAAAGAACTTTCTGAAGGAAGCTTTGTGTGGCCTGAGAAGGGATGGCCTGGAGGCCGCGAAGGTGGGAGCGAGGAGGGAGAGGCGCCACGTTAACGAGCCAGACCGGGGCGTCCGGCTGGAGAGCCGTGAGAGGCACATAAGGGAGACGAGCGGGTTTGCAGAAGATGGCAAGGCCCTGGACTAAGAAATAGTCAACAGGTGAGGGAACAGGTGAGGGACTAGATTCAAGGGACATTTAAGAGTCCCGCTCCTTCAGTGACTCAGCAGCAGCATTGGAGGCTGGTTATGTGCAGGAGCTTCAGGGGGAGGGGAATTTGCGGGGAGCCCCACTCCCCGATGCCCTGTAGAGGCCCTGACTGCGTGGTAGCCAAGAACACCTCACAGGCACCCCGCTGGGTGAAGCAGATGGAAGCCAGCTCAGAAATAGGGGGGAGCCCTTAGCAGGGGCCAGTTTATGGGAAAGAGAAGTACGTTTTCAGGCACACGTGAGCCAGGGGATCTGAAGCTCTGGAAGACACGGGGGTGGGGGGTGGAGATGGCAGGTGCTGCCGGGACAGACGCCACAGGGGAAATCAGGAAAAGAGGTATTTTCTATAAGAAAAAGAGTCAGGGAGACGGTCCTGGGTGTAGACGCACACGTAAGCCGAAAGAGGGGCCCACATGGCGCAGTACCACAAAACAGCAAAACCGTGTTATCATGGGATCAAAGGCAATGGGGGGCGCCTGGGTGGCTCAGTCGGTTAAGCATCTGACTTCAGCTCAGGTCATGATCTCGCGGTTCGTGGGTTCGAGCCCCACATCGGGCTCTGTGCTGACAGCTCAGAGCCTGGAGCCTGCTTCAGATTTTGTGTCTCCCTCTCTCTCTACCCCTCCCCTGCTCACGCGTCTCTCTCTCTCTCAGAAATAAACAAAAAACATTAAAATTGAAAAAAAAAAAAAGGCAATGGGGTCTTTCAAAAAAGTGAGAGCCAGCCATTCGCATGTGGGAGACGGACTCCTAAAAGTAGGGATGCAGCTGCTCGTGGCGTTGGTCATCAGGACCTTGGGCGTGGCATCTCCAGTACAGCGGTGGGGGCAGAAGCCCGGTGGACAGACGGCGAGGGGGCTGGGGGGCCCACAGATGGCCCCGTGCCCTCTCTCACCTCCCACGTGTGCTGTTTCCTCGGCCCCTCGTTTGCAGAGAGCACCCCAGCGCTCACCGGAGCTGCACAGCGTAGCGGGGAAGGCTGAAGCGTCCGGGCCCACGGGGCAGGGGAGGGTGGACACGAGACCTTGCTGTGGTTGTGGTTCATTAACCCCAGTCCTACTGGGTGGACAGGGACTCCATCTTCTGCATCCAGTACAACATCCGCTCTTTCATGAACGTCAAGCACTGGCCCTGGATGAACCTGTTCTTCAAGATCAAGCCGCTCCTCAAGAGCGCGGAGGCCGAGAGGGAGATGGCCACCATGAAGGAGGACTTCGAGAGGGCCAAGGAAGAGCTGGCCAGGTCGGAGGCTCGCCGGAAGGAGCTGGAGGAGAAGATGGTGTCCCTGCTGCAGGAAAAGAATGACCTGCAGCTGCAGGTCCAGTCTGTGAGTACCTTCCTGATGAGGCCAGAAAAGGAGAAAAAGGGAGGCCCCAGCAGGTGCATCTATTCAAGGGGCAGTGGTGCCACCTAGTGGGCCTACGGAGTATTGCGGGCAATGGGAGGCGGCAGTGAGGGCTTGGTTTAGCCCCAAGCAGAGGTGCTTGCTGGAGGGTGTCTGCAAAGTGAATTTCTGCTCACCCTCATTTGTCTCTGTCTTCCAGAAGGGAACGTGTCTGCTAGCATAATTAAAAACTGTCAGGATGCACCAGGTCTTTAAAAAAAAAAAAGTCATGTAAATAAAAATAAATCACTAAAATAATTCAAAGTAGAAAGAGTAATTGTGTATATATATATATATATGATTTTGATAATAGGATTCTACTAAAAATGCTTTGATGATATGGATTTTTAAGTTTATTTATTTATTTTGAGAGAGGGTGAGTGTGTGTGTGTGTGCACACGTGCAAGTGGGAGAATGGCAGAGAGAAAGAGAGAATCCCAAACAGGCTCCACGCTGTCAGCACAGAGCCCAAAGTGGGGTTAAATCTCACGAATGGTGAGATCGTGACCTGAGCCGAAGTCAGGCACTCACCCAGCTGAGCCACCCAGCCGCCCCGATAAGCATTTTTATTATTAAAAAAATTTTTTTTTCTAATGTTTATTTATTTTTGAGAGAGAGAGCCTGAGCAGGGGAGGGGCAGAGAGAAGGAGACACAGAATCCAAAGCAGGCTCCAGGCTCCAAGCTGTCAGCACAGAGCCCAACGTTGGGCTCGAACCCATGAACCGTGAGATCATGACCTGAGCCGAAGTCGGACGCTTAACGGACTGAGGCACCCAGGCGCCCAGAAGCATTTTTATAAAATCAAGGAAACAGGGAAAAGGAAACCATACATAGCATGTGACATCCTGGTATAATAATTGTATCAACTCACAAGTTAAGATGCTTATCATTTGCCCTTTTGAATAAACTCCTAAATGCCTTGCGCTCAAAGCATTTTTCCCTCCCTTGTTTACTTTCCCAATCAGGACAGATGGTTATTTGGAGCACTTTCCCAAGCTGAGGGGGTAAGCGGACTAGTTTTGGAACTAGATGGCTGGGTTGATATCCCTGGCCCTCCACTTAATGGCTGCGTCACCTTGGGCAAGTTACTTAGCCTCTTTGTACCTCAGTTTCCTCATCTGTAAAATGGACACAGTAATAGCACCCATGTCCAAGCTAATGGGAGGATCAGATGAGTCCATGCATGCAAAATGCCCAGCACATAGTACATGTTCAATTAACACACACACCTGTTCTTATCCATAACCTTGGGATGTGTGTCCAGTTTTTACAACACTCTTATATAAGATGTAGCCCAATTAAGCTTAAGAATGTAATTAGCTAATCTTGGCCTGTCCAAGAGACTCATTACAGAGCCTTCTGGGACATATATTTATTTAATCACTTCAATTCTGTCTGTTTTGAATTTTCTGCCCAGTGGCTCCAGGAGGGCTAACAAGGCATCAACAGGACTCTTCCATTGAAAGTGAAAAGGTAGTAGTGTTTTGAAAATGCCAGTTAGCAGGTGTAACATCGAGTAGGTGAGTCGTTTTTCAACCAGTAGTGGACGGAAGTGTGAAATGGCCAGCTGTCCAAATTTGGCAGATTTGTAGAAGCTTTAGGAACTTTATGGACTCCTTTGTTTGGAATTATTTTAGGTGAATTTCTATTAAGTGGATGTCCTTGGTGGTTTTTAAAAAAGGCATATATGAATGATATAAAAACGGGGGGGGGGTGCGTGTTCATCTGTGCCCATGAGTGTGTGTGCACATGAGTGAATGTGTGTGTGTGCATGCACATGGTTGTGCCTGTGAGTGTGTACGTATTTGTGTGAGTGTGTATGTGCATGCATGTGTGCACGAGTGTGTATGTGCGTATGTATGCCTGTGTGTGCCCATGAATGTGTGGGCATGTGTGTATGCATTTGGACATGTGGGTGCGTGTGGGTATGTGTGTGTGTGTGTGCACGGGAGTGTGCGTGCACGGGAGTGTGCATGCGTGTGACCCACTCCATGCATTTGGACATGTGGGTGCGTGTGGGTATGTGTGTGTGTGCGCACGGGAGTGTGCGTGCACGGGAGTGTGCATGCGTGTGACCCACTCCTTGGCTGAGGTCTAGATAGCGGGCTTTCAGAGGGCAGAGCCCTTCCCTTGTAAGGTTTGCTGAGAGTCTGACCAAACCACAATGATCTGTTTCTTTCAGGAAACAGAAAACCTGATGGACGCCGAGGAGCGCTGCGAGGGGCTCATCAAAAGCAAGATTCAACTGGAAGCCAAAGTCAAGGAGCTGAGCGAGAGACTGGAGGAGGAAGAAGAGATGAATTCGGAGCTGGTGGCAGAGAAGAGGAGCCTGGAAAATAAATGCTCATCCCTCAAAAGAGACATCGACGATCTGGAGCTGACCCTGACCAAAGTGGAAAAGGAGAAGCATGCCACTGAGAACAAGGTGGGCCGCCCCGGGAGTCCCCGGAGTTTCTGGAACGATCCTTACTCCGTCTCTGTGAGGAGGAGACATGGCCTGAGGTCAGAGGCAGGAGCGAGCGCACAGGCAGGTTCTCTCCTCTGCCTTGTTCTCGGGCCCAGAGGCTCTTCTCAAGCCTCCGCCCCGCCTGGCTGGTTCCACCCCCTCCTGCCTCCAGCTCCAGCCCCTCCTGCCCAAAGGAAGGGATCCTGGAGAAGAAAGATGGCGTCCTATTCATCAGCGCTTTCACTTGTCCCAGGAAGAGCAAACCCCCTACGGGCGCCAGGCAGACGATGAGACAGGCGGGGGACGGGGGCAGGGAGGGGCGCAGAAAGCTGGATAACACCAAGCGCTGGCAGGGGTGTGGGGGTGCAGGGACCCTGGTGTGTTATTGGCAGAGTATAGACTGATGCAGCTTTTGAAAAAGTATCTGGAAATACCTGGTCCATTAAGAATCCACGTATCCTTTGACCCAACGATTTTGCACCTGAGTGTCTACACCAGGGGATTCTCCCACCAGCCCATAAGGGGACCCACCCGAGGATGGTGTGGGTTTGAGGACACCCATCAGGCCAGCAGGCAGAGCAGGCTTGTACACACAGGGCACCAAGATGGACACGAAAGACCTAGTGCTGAAACTAGGAAAACGAAGGGTACAGCTCGATACCGTTTATGTAGACGGAAAATGACATGTACACAAAGGAAGACACGATTTACAGAAACAAGTGAAAAATGCAACACTTGATTCACATCGTAACGGTTGCCCATGAGATAGAGCAAGGGGTGGGGTTGCCCTGGTGCGAGAGGACCCAGAGTCAGCGTGGGTCAGGCCACCAGGAGTGAGGGGAGGGGCAGTCGGGAGGGGCGGAGACTGCGGCAAACAGAAGGGCTGTGACTCGCTCTAGCCAGCTGCCTCCGGTGGGGATGGGAACCCAGGGTCGCCAAAGCTTCTGATCTCCCGTGAGGAGCCACGAATCCAGATGGTATGAGAAATGGTGTTGCTTTTCTCCATCCTGGTAACTTACTCAAGGGTGGTGAACTCTTACGTGGACTAAAGAAAACGTGTCTGAGGCCAGATTCGGGCCACAGGTCGGGAGCTTAACAACCTCTGATCTGGAAGTGTCATACGTGGAGCAAAGTTTAACTTAAATGCCTTAAAGCTTCATGTTTGGCGCCCCCACCCCCACAGCCACCCCCACCCCCGCTTCCTGACGGCACAGGATCCCCCTTCTGGATGCTTTCGCGTAGCACATCATATCTTTCCCTATTCTTCCTGCCTTATTCTAACTCCCAAATTCCCACTGATATATTGTGATAAATATAGATTGATCGGTTGTCTCCTGAGAGTCCTTGTTTGCATCTATCGGTGTCCTGCCTCGTGAGCTATAAAGCCCTCTCCGAAGGGATGACCCTAACAGGAGGATTTGAGGCTCTCTGTGCCAGGCCGGGGGTGGGGGGTGGGATTAAGAACCGACAGGCTGACACTTTCAGGATCGACACACCCAACAACACACTAACCACCTGCCAGGGAGGTAAAGAGGCAGTAGCCCCCTCCCACCAAAAAAAGGGGAGGGGGATGTAAAAGGGAAGGTAAAGAAAATAAAAAATCAGTAACTTCTGCTGGAAGCTTCTGACTTCATTGTTTGCACGATTGGACTGCAATTGATTCTCTCCCAGGTAAAGAATCTTTCTGAAGAAATGACAGCACTCGAGGAAAACATTTCCAAATTGACCAAAGAGAAGAAGTCCTTGCAGGAGGCCCATCAGCAAACGCTGGACGATCTCCAGGTTGAAGAAGATAAAGTCAACGGTCTAATCAAAATAAACGTGAAGCTGGAGCAGCAAACCGATGACGTAAGGAGATTTTACCACTGTTCTAACAGCGAGCACGTGCAGACGCTCGGGCAGGAGTGGGTGGGGGGCGGTCCAGCTTCTGGTTCTGAATCAGAATCCCGAGTCTGGACCTCAGCCCCTTCCAGAAGAGTCTGGAATGTTGAGTGAGCCCCTTACACTCTGCAGCCTCCGTTTCCATCCACCTCGTGAAGCGGGATACCCAGAGCCACTCGGAGGGTGTCCATGGGAAGCTCAACCATTAGGGGCTAATACATCATCATCATCATCGTCATCACCATCAGCAGCAGCAGCAGCAGCATGCACATGCAGGTCCCTGGGCTCCAAGCTCGGATCCTGCTATAACATTGTTACAAACGCGTCCCACTTGTGGCCATGACAATTACCACTGTTCCCCATTGTTAACGTTTTTTGTTCTCAGTGCGAGAGCCAGGCCTGAGCCTTCCAGGTTTCACTCACGGCTGTGGCTAGAAGGCTAGAACTTGTCCGTTTTGTATCAGTTTTCTTGCTCCTCATACCCCCATGTGCGCGTGCACGCACACACACACACACACACACACACAGAGGCACACTGACAGATTTGCCCGCGATGCATGTGAGTGGGGGAGGAGGGACAGAGTGCCATCTAGACCCTCGGAATCCGGGGGCATGTGTGCGGCCACACTGGCTCAAGGAGCGAGCTCATTTTCCCCGTGGGGTCTCAACGCTTGCACCCACGTCTCCCCAGCTCGAGGGCTCCCTGGAGCTTGAGAAGAAACTGCGGGCAGACGTGGAGAGAATGAAGAGGAAGCTGGAAGGGGACCTGAAGATGTCCCAGGAATCCATCATGGATCTGGAAAATGACAGGCAGCAAATAGAGGAGAAATTGAAAAAGTAGCTGTTTCACGTTTGACCTCTGTGTTTGAGCCCGAAAGCCAACTTACCCCCCTTCAAAGGGCTTGGATTTCATGTTATTTAAAACATAACATGTATATGTATTTGCAGGAAGGAGTTCGAAATCAGTCAGTTACAAACCAAAATTGACGACCACCAAGCGCACAGTTTGCAATTACAGAAGAAGATCAAAGAACTGCAGGTGGAAATACCAAACCCTTCCCGACCCTGAAAACCCTTTGCCAGGCTCCCTCCTGCCCGTCTCCCTTTGTTTCTTTGTTTCTGTGGCTGCTGGTTTGCCTCCTGTCCTCAGAGCTGGAGAGAATGTCCGGCCCTTTCCCGTAGGTCTCTGAAATTGACACTTCAATTTTGTCAGTAGCACAAGCGTCATTTCCTTGAGAATACGACAATGTTGCTGGTTGGGCTAAATAGGATCGAGAAGGGTGCTTTGGTCACCACCAGGGAGCTGGGTGCTCTCCCCGTCTTCTCAGAGGTCCCTCCCGGAGCACCTAGGGAGCTCCGTCAGTTGAGCGTCTGACTCGATTTCAGTTCAGGTCACGACCTCACGGCTACATGAGTTTGAGCCCCACCTTGGGCTCTGCATTGACGACATGGACCCTGCTTGGCATTCTCTCTTTCCCCCTCTCCCCATCCATCTCCTACTCATGCTTTCTCTGTCTCTCTCAAAATAAATAAATAAACTTTAAAAAAAAAGAAGTCCCTCCCACCTTTTGTGGGATATGTATCCTCCGGAACCTTTTGCTATGGATTTATGTACGTTGATCTATGGGTTGTGAGTTCAAACCCCATGTTGGGTGTAAAGATTACTTAGAGAATTTATTTTTGAAAAAACCGAAGAAACTAATATAGGGGATATATTGATACACACATACATATGTATATGCATGCATACATTAAAATATAAAGGAACAAGAACATTGAAATATATATCTTTACATGTATATTTGTGTATGTAAATATATTTATTAAATATATGGATATTTTATATCTCTTAGCTTAAATATGATACCGCAGAGGCTTTGATTCTGCAGCTTCCTCCTTTTTAAAATTTTTTTTTAATCTTTATTTTTGAGAGAAAGAGAGAAAGAGCCACAGAGTGTGAGTGGGGTAAGGGCAGAGAGAGAGGGAGACACAGAATCGGAAGCAGGCTCCAGGCTCTGAGCTGTCAGCACAGAGCCCGACGCGGGGATCGAACCCACATACCATGAGTTCATGACCTGAGCCGAAGTCGGACGCTTAACCCACGGAGCCACCCGGGTGCCCCACAACTTGCAGACCTGTCCCTGGTAGGCATGGGTCTGGTCTAACTGCTTCACGAACTTCTGGAACATGGCCCCATGACGGTGCGTTTGACGAGTCCCCTGCTGATGGACATGTAGACTGCAAGTTTGTTCTCACTAACTTAATGTTCTAGCGTATTCTTTTCTCTGTGACGCCTATCCTCAGTCCCTCACCACCCGCCCCTCCCGAAGTGGGCTGCTCCCCTCAACCCCAACATGCCTGATGTAGTGACCCTTTCAGGCCCGCATCGAGGAGCTGGAGGAGGAAATCGAGGCAGAGCGGGCCTCCAGGGCCAAAGCAGAGAAGCAGCGCTCAGACCTCTCCCGGGAACTGGAGGAGATCAGCGAGCGGCTGGAAGAAGCCGGTGGCGCCACTTCTGCCCAGATCGAGATGAACAAGAAGCGAGAGGCCGAGTTCCAGAAGATGCGCAGGGACCTGGAGGAGGCCACCCTGCAGCACGAAGCCACGGCGGCCACCCTGAGGAAGAAGCACGCGGACAGCATGGCCGAGCTCGGGGAGCAGATAGACAACCTGCAGAGGGTCAAGCAGAAGCTGGAGAAGGAGAAGAGCGAGCTGAAGATGGAGATCGATGACCTGGCCAGCAACATGGAGACCATCTCCAAGTCCAAGGTACCTGACTCCCTCATCTTAGCAAGTACGAGGCAGGCACATCCACCTGCCCAGGGGGCAGCTGTAATTCAATGCCCCCTAACTCACTGCCTGTTCTAAACCGAAAGGCTCTCCCCCATTTCTTCCTGTCCCCAAACCCCCAAAACCCATTCCGGTCATTCGAGCTTGACCCAGTGATCAAGGTCTCATCATCTTTCCCAGTGTCTCAGAAAGCTTTCAGAGCCTTCCAACCCATCTGGAATTTTCTAGAGCTAAATCTATGGGTGGATTGTAAAGGGCCTTGCTGGGTATGGTTTTCTACATGCCGCCTCTCTAGCCCACCATATCAGTCCTGGGCGACATAACCAATGTGAAGTTATGCGTGAGAACAAGGGCGGAACCAAGTTTTGTGCCACTCGAAGCAAGTAAAATTCAGGAGGGGAGGGGCTCTTTAAGAAAATGTACCCCAAATTAGGGGCACGTGGGTGGCCCAGTCGGTTGAGCGTCCGATTTCAGCTCAGCTTATGATCTCGCAGGTTAGTGAGTTTGAGCCCCACGTCGGGCTCTGTGCTAACAGCTCGGAGCCTCCAGCCTGCTTTGGATTCTCTGTCTCCCTCTCTCTCTCTCTGCTCTTCCCCTGCTCGCACTTTGTCTCTTGCTCAAAAATAAATTCAAAAAAATTTTAAAACAGGGGCACCTGGGTGGCTTAGTCGGTTAAGCGTCCAACTTTCGCTTAGGTCATGATCTCACGGTTCGTGGGTTCAAGCCCCGCGTCGGGCTCTGTGCTGACTGCCAGCTCAGAGCCTGGAGCCTGTTTAAGAATATGAATCACACTCTCTCTGACCCTCCCCTGCTCACGCTGTCTCTCTCTCTCTCCTAGAAATAAATAAATAAAAAAAAATTAAAAAAAATTTTTTAAACAAAAAAGAAAATGTACCCCAAATTATAAATACAAAGTTAAGCACAAAAGTAAATATTCATTTAGAGTGAGAAAAACAAATCAGATCACTGTCTTCTGAGACTTCTTTAGTACATTTGCCAGAAGTGCCTCCCTAAAAATATATTCTGCTTGCATGCAGCCTCCCTTTGCCACCCGGAACCTTCAACAGTCACCTGCATGATCTAGGGCCCCTGCGAATGAGGGTTGTGAAGCTCAAACGTCACTAGCCTCATGGTAAAGCCACTCCTGTGTGACTTGGAGGCAAACCTTCCTCACAGAGTGACTATGTGCTTCTAGATTCATAGTACCTTTTGCTGTCCTTGTTTCGGATCTGGATTCACACAGCCTGAGCTTCATCTTGATTTCTTTCTCACTGCCTGACTGCCACTCCTTTTTCTATCTTGCTCGCTTGCTTCCCTGTTTTTCTGCCCTTCTTGGCTTTTTCCTCCCTCTAAGGAGTTATGTATTCTCTGTCTCCACCTCTGTCCCTCTCCCCTGTAACACGCAGGTCAGGTTGCAGGGTTGTCTGGGTTAGAAGAGATGATGGCACCACCCACACGCAGCACAACCTGTCACCTCCCTTTCTCTATATTGCTTTCTGCTCTCTTTTCTCAATTTCAAAATCCAGTGGAGGAAGTCTTTTATATTGCTTTATATATTTTAAGTTGTTGTATCCTTTGTTTTCTCCCTGCGAGTTGCTGTCTCTTCTTCAACTATCCCAGATAAAATTATCTCATGTTCACATGTCATTTTCTCAAAGATAGAGAGGGAGACACAGAATCCAAAGCAGGCTCCAGGCTCTGAGCTGTCAGCACAGAGCTGGATTCAGGGCTCGAACCCATGAACCATGAGATCATGACCTGAGCTGAAGTCAGATGCTCAACTGACTGAGCCACCCAGGTGCCCGTATCTCGGCCTCTTCTGCTGCTGTCTTATACTTTACAGTTTCTAAGGAAAACTATACACTCAGTATATTTATTTTATTGGTATATTAGGTGGGAGGAAGAAGTCTATAACATATGGAAGGTTTTGAAACAAACTTCACAAAAATACAGGCCAACTAGAGGCTGGAGGAATGAATCCCTCCCTGCCATCCCTACCATACAGAACCTTTTGTATAATCGAGTGAAATGTTTGACACTGTCACCTGAATATGCTGCTTCCAAACAAATCAGGAGGTAATATTATTCAGGTGACAATAGAATTCCTTACATTACGAGAAGATTCTGCAGTTCCTTTGAGTAGCATCTCCTCAAAGGTATCTTTCACAAACCAATCAATACTTAGCTACCGAAAGCCTGTTGCCCTAACTTATTGGGGGCGAAGCAGTACTCGCAGACACAAATAAAGCAAATCTGAAGTGACTATAATTTTTTAAACTGACATTCAGGGCGCCTGAGTGGCTCAGTCAATTAGGCGTATGACTGTTAATTTTGGCTCAGGTCACAATTTCATGGTTTGTGAGTTTGAGCTGCGCATCAGGCCCTGTGCTGACAGTGTACAGCCTACTTGGAATCAGCCTGTCTCCAATCTCAGTCTCTCTCTCTCTCTCTCTCTCTCTCTCTCTCCCCTTCTCTCTCCCTCTCTTTCTCTCATTCTCTCAAAATAAATAAACATTAAAAAAAAATTCAGGGTCAGCTGGGTGGCTCAGTCAGTTAAACATCTGACTCTTGGTTTAGATCAGGTCATGATCTTACAGTTTTGTGGGGTTCAAGCCCTGCATCCGGCTCTGGGCTGACAGTGCAGAGATAGCTTGGGAGTCTCTCTCTCCCTCATTCTCTAACTTCTCCCCTACTCACACTGTCTCTGCCTCCCTCAAAAACAAACAAACAGACAAACAATAAAAATTTTTAACTAACATTTATGTGCTCTGCATCTTAGTGCAGACAAGACAGGGCACCTGGGTGGCTCAGTGGGTTAAGCATCCGACTTCAGCTCGGGTCATGATCTCACAGTTTTGTGGGGTCCAAGCCCCACATCAGGCTCTGTGCTGACAGTGTGGAGCCAGCTTGGGAGTCTCTCTCTCTCTCTCTCTCTCTCTCTCTCTCT